TTAACTATACGCAATTGATGAAACAGCCATGTATCTTAGAAACTTTTTAGTAGCATCTTCTTTCAAAATAAAGAGCAGGAATTTTTGTAAACCCTCTTTGGTGGGGTCTGTGCATTCAGGCCTTGGCTGGGGGAATGGTTCCGATGGTCGTGGTTGGCAGAGGGAGGGAAAGGAACAAGGAAGGCATCGGAGATGCAGTGCGGTGCCCTTGCCCTCAGGACTGCTAGTTCTGAGCGTTTGGTAGGGCATGAAGCTGCCTCGGTTTGCTTAGGAGTGAGCGGTTTCCTGGGACACAAGTCTTGTGGTGCTAAAGGCAAGGGAAGTACCCAGCCGCGGGGCTTAGTTGGCTCACTAGAACTTAGGACAGTGGAGGTGAAGGAAGGTGTCAAGTATCTCAAGCTGGTCTTTGCCATCAAACCTCCTTTCAGAGAAACTCTGCCCAGTCACTCAGTCTTGACGCAGAAGCCAAAGCAGGTGCTTATCCCAGATAACGCCTCTGCTTACAAAAGAACCACTCATTCCCTAATACATATAGATGCACCATGAGACCCTATTTTTGTCATGAAACAAGCTGCCTGTCCTTGTGGTGTATCCATACTCTATACGTGTGTGTGGTTTCGGGGTAGGATAAACAGCTAAGAAACCAGAAATAAATGGGGAAATTTCAGGCAATGATAAATGTTCATGAAAAAAACAATTTTAGATGTCTTATGGAATGGAAGTGGCAGGAAATGGATGCCACTAGCCTGCTGGTCAGAAATGGTTAGGTTACATAAGGAGCTGAACTCTCAGGGAAGCCAGTCATGTTTCCCTGGAGAAGCCACATTGGTGATTGCCAATGACACAAAGAACAGCCCCGGGAGAGGCTTCCAAACAGCTAACCGTGCTGGGGAAGTTAGTGCCGGACTGTGTGGCTGCCACGCGGGGAAGAAACGTGGGGCGAGAGCATGCTCAGTCACCACGCAGTGTGACCACAATTTTCACCAAGCACGATCCTGAGGGTGCTGATCCCCACTGGCCGGAGTCAGCGCGTCTTGATTCCACCACGCCGTGCTGTCCTTCAGTTCTGGGTTTGGAGAGACGTCCCTTTCTTCCACTTGCACCATGGGGATAAATCAGAGAGACTTTAGGCATGAAGGGGGAAAAACATCATATTGGAAATCTTTGTGGAGACCGACGAGTCCAACCCAGTGGCCCAGGTCAAGACAGGTAATTGCAGAATATCAGTTTGGAAGACGTCCACTTCCACAGCGGGTGGCAATTGAAAATGAAACTAGTGGACAAGCTCTGCAACCCTATTCCACCTTTCATCACACCTTGACCTTTCATCAGAGGTGGAGGAAGTTCCAGGTTCGCCCACACCAAAGAGTTTAAAGGGCAAAGAAAGCAGGCAGCCTCACCTCCAGGCCGGCCAGCTAGAGAAGGGTGATGGCTGGGAGGCAGGGTCGGGGGGCGGGGGGCAAGGGAATTCCCAGTCCCACTGAAGGTACACAGGGCGACCACGCCGGACTGCCCGAGCTGGGTGAGTGGCTCAGCCCCCTGGGTGGGTGGCTGCCCCCTGGGTGGGTGGCTCAGCCCGGGTGAGTGCCAAGAACTGCCACATGAGCCGGGCTTTAGGAAACTCAAAGAGTTAACGCATCAAACCTGAGCCGGGAGGAGAGGGAGACCACACCCCGGGGAGGGAGGCGCCGCGCCAGCTCCGGGCCCCAAACCCTATTGGCACCAGGGCGCCAGGGAGCCAGCCCCTGGGCGCGGCTTGCAGGGGGCAGGCGGTCTCCCGGGGAAGCAGGGGCCGGACCAGGCCGCGCCGCGTCTCCGCCAGGTGAGCCCTCCGGAGCCGGACAGGGACCCGCGCCCGCGCCCGCCGACATGTGTGCCGCCCGGATGCCGCCGCTGGCACACGTCTTCCGAGGGACCTTCGTCCACTCCACCTGGACCTGTCCCATGGAGGTGCTGCGGGACCACCTCCTGGGCGTGGGCGACAACGGCCGAGTAAGTGGGTGCGGGCGCCGCGGGGTCCGGGTCGGGGTCGGGGTCAGGGTCGCGGTCGGGAGGCGGTGGCACTGGAGCGCGCGGCTCGCCAGACGGATGCCCGGCGACAAGTC